CTGTCCTTTTTGTTTAGATTTCTTAGTTAAATGTGTTTGTTATATCTACCCCGAGGAGAAGCAACTTGAAAGTGTAGCTTTTGAGTCATCTTATAAATACATCCCTGAGGCTGCGGTTCTTGCAGCTTTAAGCAGTTTTCATTAAAGCAGCCAGCTGCCTCTTTGTGTAGATTGGATTTTTTTAAAGCAATCACTTGTGAAGCCCCGGCCTCAGTTTTGTCTCTCCGCAGGCCCTTAAAGTTGAAGTTTCATTCATGTCTTGGGTCTCTCCACCGAATCAGACTCCTTGGAGCAACACTGGAAAGAGCCACACGAAAGCGCAGGCTTGAATACCTCATAGAGAAAGGTTAAAAAGGAAGCAGAGATCAAAACAATCCCATCTCACAAAAGGTGCATTAAATGCGCCCCAGCAATAAGCACAAATCTTCCAAGTTGGCCTTTAAAGGGAGCACCAGGAGCCTCACGTTTATTGCACCCAGCAATTCTCTGAGCAACTCGCCGCGTCTTTGCACTCCTGGCGCGTTTCCTCCTAAAACAACATCTAATGGGAAGATAATAGAGACGCAGAAAGGAGGCGCGGGGATTTCCCCCCACACACCACCACCCACCCACCCCCCTTTCCTTTTAGCTGCCTGAGTCTATCTCAAGGCTTTGAGCCCAGAGGTTAAAATAAGCTTTTCACCTCTAAACACAAACAGGCGTACGCGATGTATATTACCCACCCGACAACAGCTCGCACCCAAACGCAGGCGAGAGCGGGTGTTTGAAGGGCGCTGCCCCAGCCCCAGAGCCGGGAAGGCCGATGAGAGGTGCCTGGGAGCCGAGGCTCGCTAAGGAACGAGCCGTGCTCGTCTTTTGCTGCTGGAAATGCGGCTTTCTCCCCGGCAGCCGCGGACTTGAAAGGCGGAGGGAGCCCGACGTTTGGCAAGCCGGAGCTCGGTTGCAGCAGCCCGAGGCGGCTGGCGGGCAGGGGACCCCCCGGGCGAGGGGGTGGCAGGGCGTGGGGTGGCCGGAGGGTTCCCGGAGCCCGGCCAGCGTCCCTCTGCATGCACCTGATGTGTATGCAGCACCTCGCCTCCCAGGCAGGAGAGAGCTCCAGTTAAGTGGCGCTCTATGTATTTTATAGCGAATATTCTCGAGTAGCTGCACTGCAATGAAGGAGATATCAAGGAGGCCTGTCAGTTCAAAGCTTTTGGGGTTGTTTGAAAATCTTCTTCACGTCAAAGTAAGCAGCCCTAGTATTTGAACAGCTGCTTTGAACAGTGAAAAGGGCTGAGCTGAATCAAAACACTGCAGTGTCTGCCCAAGACACCGCATCACCTTCAACCTGCTTTTATACGAGCAGAGAAAAGGAAAGAAAGGCTGGTGAGACCTCTAATCCCGCGGGGTCAGCTCCGCCAGAAAGGGGCCACATGACTGTCTCTTTCACATCCCCAGCGCCTCG